TAAAATATGTTTTATTGATTTTTCACAGAAAGGAAGGGAGAGAGAGAGTTAGAAAAATCGATGAGAGAGAAACATCGATCAGCTGCCTCCTGCACATCTCCCACTGGGGATGTGCCCGCAACCAAGGCACATGCCCTTGACCGGAATTGAACCTGGGACCCTTCAGTCTGCAGGCCGACGCTCCATCCACTGAGCCAAACCGGTTTTGGCAACTTTTTTTTTTTTTTTTTTTTACCATATACTTTACATTAGAAGTGCCTGTTTTAGCCCTTGCATTAGAAACAATTTCTATAAATAAACTTCATTTTCTTTTTTTTAAAATTCCATAAAGAAGGCAGTAATGACCATAATTATATATATACACATATATACATACACACAGACAAATTTATTGATTTTAGGAAGAGGAAGGGAGAGAAACATCGATCAGTTGCCTCTGACATGCCCCTATAATTATATTTTTGAAATACTTTTTATTTGATTTGTATGCAATCTCAATGCACTCAGTTGTTTATCATTTTTAACTGACTTATTTCTGATTAGAAGATAGTAAAAGCTTTACCTTAAAATTTGCTGTTTAAAAAATTAGCTTTTGCCCGGCCAGTGTGATTCAGTGTTGGGCATCAACCTATGAACCTGGAGGTCACGGTTTGGTTCCCAGTCAAGGCACATGCCTGGGTTGCAGGCTCAATCCCTGATGGGGTTCGTGCAGGAGGCAGATGATCAGTGATTCTCATCATTGATGTTTCTATCTCTCCCTCTCCCTCTCTGAATCAATAAAAATACATTTTTTAAAAAATTAGCTTTCTATTTTTCCAAAACAATATCCATCTTCCTCATATATTGACAGGCTTTGATATTGCCTAATCTAACTTTACCATAAAAAATCATTTAAAAAAAGTTCTTTCTTTATTTTCATGTTTTAGTGTGTGTAGTCAGACAAAAAGCAATAATCCTCCATCTCATTCTTGGATTTATAAAATAGATCAGATCACTCTCTGAAACAAAATTACTTTATTAGTTTAGTAATAATTTGAGTTTACTTTAAAGATAAGAAGCAGCATTTGGGAGGAGATTCATTTCCTGCCTTTGGGCTTTATCTGCAAGAACTACATCTTCAATGTCAAGAGATTGTATATTTATAACTGAACTCTAATAAAGTCTGTACTGGGGATTCTGCACACCTGACTTGGTCATTGTGATTATATATTAGGTGCCAAACTGTTGCTTGTCTTTTGAGAAAATACCAAGTGTATTTCATTAAAATTTGACCTCTGTAGGGAGGATTACAAGACCTTTGACTGTTGATTATAAGTGCACTAGTTATTACCAACATGGTTAATGATGTTTTTGGAAATAAAGTTTGGGTTTCTAAGTGTATTGTAAGAGGTGTCATTGATTACAGTAAATATGTTTTCACTGAATCTTATGAAATGTTTTTCTACTATTTTTGACTGATGCAACCTAGGAAGGATATTGAGAACCATGTTCTGAGTTTTTTCCCTTTAATCCATATCTTACACTATATGTGACTGTGAAAGAATTGTTTTCTTTATGAGCAATCCAAAAATTACTCTCCTTTTTATACTCCTTTTATGCTTCCACTTTTTGCTTGTTTTTTCATCAGAGAAAACTGTCATACAAAACATCAGTGTCTTTAATTTCACCCTTGTTTTGTGTGTGTGTGTGTGTGTGTGTGTGTACTCTTTTTTTTTTATTGATCTCAGAGAGGAAGGGAGAAGTAGAGAGATAGAAACATCAATGATGAGAATCATTGATCAGCTGTCTCTTGCATGCCCCCTACTGGGTATCAAACCTGCAACCCGGGCATGTGCCCTGTGACCTCCTGATTCATAGGTTGACACTTAACCACTGAGCCACATCGGCTGGGCTTTAGTCATCTTTAATAGTCATTGTCACAGTTCCCTCAGTTAGAAAACTGAGAATTAAATGAGCTTCAAAAGGAGATAATCCTCCTTGAATTTTTCAGCTTAGGTTCAGAGTGACCTCTTTATCCACTGATGATATTGCAACTTCAGGGATATAAGTCTCTGAATAGGATATGTAAATTTACTCTACTCCCTCCATTATGAACTTACCCTATAAGAAGTAACATCTGATTTTTTTCAAAGGTCAGGCTTATCGTTCTAAACAACTATAAAATGGAAGCATAGCCTCTTGAGATGTCTCAAAATATACTTGATGTTGGAGAGGCCCTTCCCAGTCTGCCTATTTATTCTACACTATATGAAATTAAAAAGTAATAGCCTTGTGCTTTATTTATTCAAGTTCAAGTTGAAGCAACCAGTTTAAAAGTGACAGCAGGTGAACTGTGACAGATTGGAAGAGGAGAGATGGGCCAAATAATAAAAACAAGAAGTAAAAGTCCAGCATTTGGAGACTTACTCTTCTAGTCAATCCTGAGGATATTACTAACTCAGTGATCAAAAAATATATATATACTTCATTTACACTAATTGGAAAGACATAAAAATATGTTGAGAAGAATTTCATGAGATGTTTATTAGCATATTTAATATTTTAATGTTTAAAATTGTTACTCTAGTGAAAAATGGGTTATATCACATAATTAAAATTTTTAGTAATTGAAAAATACAGTAATACACAAGTAATTCACTTAGCATAGCACCTGCCTCTGTAAATGTTGGATACTGTTTTTGTTACCAACCTCTCTTCCTCTTGTTGGAGTCAATTTACTATCTGAAATGTCTTTAGCTCTTTGCTTAAACACTTTTTTTTTAATCCAAGAAAGGTAGGGAGAGAGAGAAAAAAAAGAACATCCATCAGTTGCCTTCCCTACATGCCCTGACCAGGAATGGAACTGGCAACCTTCCAGTGCACAGGATGACACTCAACCAACTGGGCCACTTGGCCTGGCTGCCTATACACTTCTTTTAATAAGTATTCTGTTACTTGTATAGCCTTTGTGTATTAACTTTTTCTCCATGGTTTTAGGGAACTAGGATTAGATTTGTTTATTTTGTTACCTTTGTTGCAGTGGAAAACAGGAAACACCACTTGATACTAAACATTTGAAAACAGTCCTATAGTCCTAGAGCTGAGGCTTATATGTTTAATTAAAAATAAATTTACTAGTATTACTATTTTTTAAAGATAATTTACACACCACAACATTTACTCTGTTAAAGTGTACATTTTGGTGTTGGTTAGTATGTTTACAAAGCCTTATACTTTTAAGGAAACACTTTTACTTACGTATGCTAATTACCGTATTTGCCGGCGTATAAGACGACTGGGCGTATAAGACGACCCCCTAACATTTCCACTCAAAATACAGAGTTTGTTATATACTCGCCGTATAAGACTACCCCCTCTTCCGCACACCTTCCACACACCAAATAAAAGGTAAAACAATATCAGATTTGATTTTAACATTTTAATTTATATTCAAATGCTTATGACATGCAGGAAAACTGTCACAAGGCTGTATGTAATCAAACATATACATAAAACAGTGCAAGTTTATTACCGGTAAACATACCGGTAATTCACTAAAGAAAACACACTCTATAGACTGGTACCGTAGATGCTTCTCAGGAACACAGGCAAGCAGCCCACAACCTAGAGGGACTGTCAATGATAGAAGTAAGATAACAAATAGTGGTCCCTGCTCCCTGTTTGCCCGCCCTGTCACTATAGCAGTCTGGTCCACCCTTGCATCAGCATCTCTCTGGGACCTCACTAGTGCGCAAGTGCGAGCTCTTCAACATTCTAACAGGCACCATGATAGCGCAAAATCGCGAATCTTCAATGCATATGTAAAGAAATATACGGTAACCCGAATTTACCACACTCGCAAAATCGCACACAGCCAACCATACACCCAGTATGGTATCGCGATTCGTGATTTTGCGCTATCATACTGGGTGTATGGTCGGCTGTGTGCGATTTTGCGAGTGTGGTAAAATCGCATAACAGCAAAATTGCATAACAGCCGAGCATACACCCAGCAGCGCTGCTGATGCCTGAATGGTATGTGGAATGAAGTGGGCGGGCATCGGGAGGCCACTATGGCACGGGGCAAGCACTATGGGCAGTCTATCTGAAGTGTACCTGGCGTATAAGACGACCCCCCACTTGGAGGCATATTTTTCAGGGCCAAAAAATCGTCTTATACGCCGGCAAATACGGTATATTTCTTTTCTTAGCTGTAAGACCTTACTTTTGTCCATGTGGTTACTATTTCCTATTATATTCCTCTTGCCTTCTCTTAAATTCTTTGATTCAGGTCTAATGTCATATCTCTTTAGGGAAGGCTTTCTTGATTTCTCATACATTTTGTTCCCCTTAGCTCCCACAGCCCTTTTTTATCCTTTTATTGCGTTGCTTATCACATTTATATTATAATGATCTCTTTAGTTATTTGTCTTCCCTTTCAGACCATTTATCTCTCAGGACAAAGACTGTTCTTGTTTTTCTGATATCTTCAGGAGCTAGAACAATGCCAGATATGGTAGGCGTTTCAGTACATATTTATTGAATGATTATAATCTCAGATAGTTTTGGCTGCCCATAAACCTTAAATATATACTAAAAGCTTGATATACTATATTTAATGATGAATATAAAATAATGTGCTTTTTATTGCTGGGGATGATACCAATTTAGTGCTAGAAGGGACCAATCCACCTCCACCTAATACTCACGCATACACACATTCACATGAACACACAAAGCAAATTGAAATCCATAGAAGTTGACTGACTTAGTAGTAAAATTGAAGTTGAGACTAAAAAATCCGTTACCTCATTTGTCCTGTTCTGTTTTGTACCCCATATAGCCTAATATGGTAAGTTACAATGAAAATTCGTTTGTTTCCAAAAGTGTGGGAGAAAGGCCTTGATAATGTCAATTCATAATACTACCTTTGTATTTTTAAAGCTAAGTAAGGAACCAGTTGCCAAACAGAATTTTGGAAAAGAAGTATTAAACAATGACAGCATTTTTCTGTGTTCTAGACCTCCGTGAGTGAAAGCCTTCAGAGGGAAGCTGCTAAAAAGCAAGCAATGAAACAGGTAAGGTCAAAGAGTGACTTAAATGTAACTGGGGAAGTAGGTATTTCAGCTCACATTTTTAAGTATCAGTTTTGGTATCTAGGTGCTGAGACAAAACAGAATAGGTATGTGTAAAGAAATAATTTAGCCCTAGTTGGCTTGACTCAGTGAATAGAGTGTAGGCCTGTGGACTGAAGTGTCCCAAGTTTGATTCTGGTCAAGGGCACATGCCCGGTTGTGGGCTCAGTCCCCAGTGGGGGCATGCAGGAGGCAGTTGATTGATGATTCTCTCTCATCATTGATGTTTCTATCTCCCTCTCCCTCTCCCTTCCTCTCTGAAAGCAATAAAAAGAAATTTAATTTGACCCTCGTTTTTTCCCCTATTTTTTTTATTGATTTCAGAGAGGAAGGGAGAGAGAGAGAGGGAGATAGAAACATCAGTGATGAGAGAGAATCATCAATCGGCTATTGGCTGCCTCCTGCACGCCCCAGACTGAGGATCAAGCCCGCAACTCAGGCATGTGCCCTGACCAGGAATTGAAGCATGATCTCCTGGTTCATAGGTAAATGTTCAAAAACAGCCTACGCTGGCCAGGCTGTTTTTGAAAATATGTTAGGACTAGAGGCCCGGTGCACAAATTCATGCGTGGATGGGGTCCCTCAGCCTGGCAGGTTGGCCTGGGGGTGTGGAGGCGGGGAGGGGCGGGGGGCGCGGCAGGTTGGCTGTGGGATCGCACTGACCACCGGGGAGCAGCTTTTGTGTTGAGCATTTTCCCCCTGGTGGTCAGTGCATATCATAGCCACTTGGCTGACCAGTTTTTTGATCACTTAGGCTTTTATATATATAGTTGTTTGTTGATTTACATTGATTTCTGGGTTTTAGAAATTTTAAAGGAAAAAACACAGCTCAGTAAGTATAGAGCCAAGCTTCTAATTCAGGCAGCCAGGCTCCAAAATTGATGTTCATATATTTTGTCTTAAAATGTGATTGATAGAAATTTTTGATAGATTTCTGATTCTGTCTCAAGAAAATTACTTCCACTTTTTTGTGCTATTAGCTAGCTAGTTCATATTTTTGAAAAATGTTTAATTTTTTCTTTTAAAGACCAAACTGGAAATCCAGAAGGCCCTTGCAGAAGATTCCACTGTATATGAATATGATAGTATTTATGATGAAATGCAGAAAAAAAAGGAAGAAAATAATCCTAAATTGCTTTTGGGAAAAGACCGAAAGGTTTGTAGCTGAAAATACAAACTTTCTTTGACCTTGACCTGCATTGTATATCTTAATCTTATTTCAGCATGAAGATGGTCTGAGAAAAAGCTTTTAGGCATTTGAAGTGTGAAGTGCCCGTACTTCAGATATTATAGATTTGAGTTAGGACTCAGAAGCCCTACATTTATTCAACAGGAACAAGTGAAATATCTAACAATTTTATAAATTTTCATTTTTGCTTTTTTAAACGTTTGCAAATAATTTTTTGAAATATTTTTCTTAGAAAGTTTTTGTTCTGGTTTTGTTTATGTTTACTTGTATTTTATCATCCTCTTATTTTTTATTGCTTCTTACCTCATAACTGAATCATCTACACATATCATGATCAGATTTTTATTTTGAAAAAAAAGGTAAGGGGATTAAAATAAGTTCATATTTTTATCTTATTCTTTCATAAGCACAGACTGATTTTTATGATCTTTGCATCTTACAGTATCTACAAATAAAGTAGTGGTGTAAAATTATGTTAAAGCTACTATTTTAAATAATCGTATTACAACTAATGTGAAAAGCTAGTAGGAACCTTTCTGGTTCATGTATCTGTTGAAGAAATATTAAAACAATACCAGTAAAAATGGTGACAGAAACAGTGGTGGAAAAATTATTTACTTTGTTTTAGATTTTTAAAATAATGATAAAATAGCACTGAATATTTTTTATTGGAAAGAATTTTCAATTTATTCTTGCTAATAAATTTGTATTGATTTTTGCAATGATGATAAGCCTGTTTATTTGAACTATTCATTTTTTTAATGAATTCTTGATAAAAAATAGAGTATTGACAATTATCTTTGACTTTTTCCTAAATAATCTTTTTTTTACCCCCTAGCCCAAATATATTCACAACTTACTAAAAGCAGTTGAGATCAGAAAAAAGGAACAGGAAAAAAGAATGGAAAAGAAAATACAGAGAGAACGAGAAATGGAAAAGGGAGAATTTGATGATAAAGAGGCATTTGTGACATCTGCTTATAAGAAAAAACTGCAAGAGAGAGCTGAAGAGGAGGAAAGAGAGAAGAGGGCTGCTGCACTCGAAGGTGAAATGGAAGAGGGCAAGGGTAGAAAGAAACAAGCAGCAGAATTTTGCCCTGTGGTTAGCCATTTATTCTGTCACTGAACTTTTTGATTATAATGTTGTGGTCATAATTTATGTATAGGAATTGAAGGTACAAGTTATGATATTATGTTGTATTATCATAAAGCAGGAGATTTCTACTAAATATAGTTGTATTCTTAATAACTAGTACTTCTACTAGACTTTTCACTTATATCTATTTTGTTTAAAACTATGGTCATTACAAGTCATTGCTTTGGAAAATGATTCCCAAATGTAAAACATTGATTACAAGGTATAATACCATGACACTTACAGAAGCAGTGTAAACTGAGTTTCAAATCCTAGTTATATTTTCTGGGATGAGAAAACTAGAGTAACATCACCCAAGGAGCATCAGTTGGGCATTTAGAAAAAGAATAACATTAATTCATGAAAAAACAAAGATGTGCAAAGGCCAAACAAAGTCATAGTGTTTTACTTCAGTGTTTTCTACTCATGGTCATTTCTCAAGATTTGAGTGAAATATATACTTATAAATAGCTTATTTGGCAAGTGCTCATCAACTTGAAGTGGAAGAAAACCAAATCTCTAGACTTGATCTGTGCATGTACTGTGTGTTCATCTAGACTGCAGTGGTTCTCAGCCTTCCTAATGCTGCGACCCTGTAATACAGTTCCTCATGTTGTGGTGACCCCCAACCATAAAATTATTTTCATTGCTACTTCATAACTGTAATTTTGCTACTGTTATGAATCGTAATGTAAATATCTGATATGCTATATGTGTTTTCCAATGGTCGCGACCCACAGGTTGAGAACCGCTGAATTCTAGAGCAACAGTCAGCAAACTTTCCATAAAGCACCAGATTATGAACATTTTAGACTTTGTGTACCAACTACTCAATTCTGCCTTTGTAACACAAAAGCAGCCCTAGACAATACATAGACAAATGAACAGAGCTACATTTCAACAAAAATGTATTTACAAAGATAGGCAGCTTTGGCCTGTAGGCTATAGTTTCCCAACTTTTTTTTTTAAATATATTTTTATTGATTTCAGAGAGGAAGGGAGAGGAAAAGAGAGAAACATCAATGATAACAGAGAATCATTGATAGGCTACATCCTGCACACCCCTTACTGGGGATCAATCCCGAAACCTGGACACGTGCTCTGATCAGAAATTGAACCGTGACCCCTGATTATAGGTTGATGCTCAACCATGCACCCACACTGGCTGGGCTAATTTCCCAATTCTTGATCTAGAGAATAGTTTACACACAGTGTATGTTACATACTGTATGTCCATAAAACTGAGTTGCATTTTTGCCTTGTTGCCTATATTCTCACTTTTGCTTTCCCTCTCTTAGCACGTTTGGATGTAACCAAGCAGAAAGATCTCAGTGGATTTTATAGGCATCTATTAAATCAAGCAGTTGGTGAAGAGGAAGTCCCTACATGCAGCTTTCGTGAAGCTAGGTGAGACATGGCATACGGAATATTTAAAAGAAAGATACTGTTCATGATCTGTGGTTGGATCATTTTAACCCTCTGAAACAGTGGTTCTCAACCTTCCTAATGCTGCGACCCTTTAATACAGTTCCTCATGTTGTGGTGACCCCCAACCATAAAATTATTTTCGTTGCTACTTCATAACTGTAATTTTGCTACTGTTATGAATCGTAATGTAAATAGCTGATATGCTATATGTGTTTTCCAATGGTCGTGACCCACAGGTTGAGAATGGCTGCAAGATAAGAATTGCAGCATTGCATATTGGTTTTTTTGTTGTTGTTGTTCTTTTTTTAAATATATTTTTAGTGATTCAGAGAGAAAGGGAGAGGAAGAGAAACATCAGTGCTGAGAGAGAATCATTGATTGGCTGCCTCCTGTGCACACCCTACTGAGCATTGAGTCCAAAGTCAGGGCATGTGCCCCAACCAGGAATCGAACCATGGCCTCCTGGTTCATTGGTCGATGCTCAACCACTGAACCATGCTGGCTGGGCTGCTTATTGTTTTGTCAGCCAAACCTGACCCAATTAAACGAATCGCTAGGATTTTACAGTTTCTTAATTTAAAAGATATTTAGTTCAACATTGTGTTGATTCTGCAATAATTATACTTACATATTTAGGTGGAATATAAAAAGAGATGTGGTTTACTTTTATAAATAGGACCTAGCTTCCATAAAATGTAAAATTCACATCTTAATGGCTAGAAATACACTCTCCAGTACGTAGCCACTAGTCATGTGTGGTTGTTTAATATTACATTTAAAACTTTGGCCACAACAGCCATATTCAAGTACTCAGTTGCCACATTTGACTAGTGGCTGCCATATTAGTACAGATATGGACATTTCCACTTATGTAGACATTTCTATTAGTATTGCTCTAGAAAATAAGAGTTAGAGAATTTTTTTTAATATTATAAAGTACTAGAGGCCTGGTGCATGAAATTGTGCCCGGATAGGGTCCCCAGGCCTGGCCAGCGATCAGGGGCCTTCCTTCCCCTGGCTGCTGGCTGCCAACTGGGGCCTTCCTTCGTTTTGCACCACCCCCTGGTGGTCAGCACACATCATAGCAAGCAGTCAAACTCCCGGTCAGTCGAACTCCCAAGGGGACAATTTGCATATTAGTCTTATATAGGATTAAATAGGAATGCTAAAATGTTTATATCAGAAGTATATAGCTGAAGGTAAAAGGGAGAATTAGTCCTGAACTTGTATTTAAATAAACTTTTTGGGAACAGAAACATTCAGATAAGAGGATCTGAGTCTTATGTTGCTGGGAAAAGGAGAGAGGCAGGAGAATGGAGTTAAGGATTAAGAGAGGGAATTAGGTTTATACTTCCCATCCCCCAACTGCCAGGTTTTGATTTAAAAATTGATGAGACTTATGAGTCTAAGAAGGTATATTTGAAGATTGAGATTTAGTGTTCCTATTATTAGAGTTTCATCTGAAATAATTGTGAGGCCAGCCATGAAACTCCATAATGTTACTTAATAGTTACACTTCTCAGAGTCTAATAGAATTCCTAATTAGTGGTGAATACCTTAGCCAAGACAGTTGTACTAGCAACTCCTAGAGAACCATAGTTGTTGCTCTATTAGTATGATTAGTAAGTGATAAGAATAAATGTGTTGGTTAATTAACCATACTTATCAACTGGGAAAATTCAGATGATATAAACAATTTTAGTGTTGCTGTTTGTAATGGTTGGATGGATTCACATGTTTTCATTTTGTGGCGATAGGTGCCAAGGAGTATTTCAAGATGCTGATGCCTCTTTAATCATAAGAGGGTTTATTTAATGATATTTTGAATTAGATTTTGCCACCATTTTGCTGTGAAAACTTTTATCTTCATCTGCTTGCAGGGCTCTTCTTAATTTTTATAGAAATAAAAATAAAAATCCAACAAAGAACCACAACTTAAACTTCATATTGTGAAAATACTAAGATCCAGAATATATCTTTCTTTTCCCAATTATTCTTTGTCTATGCTTAGGATAAATGAAGGCCTTGTACAGATCCCTGCCTAAAGGCTCTGGTGGTCCAATACAAAAGGCCTTATTTCTTTTTCACTTCTACAATATTGAAATTATTCTAAATTGTTAGAAAATGCTAATTTGCAGGTGTTTACAAGGTAAATAGACATCAGCATCTTTTTACATTTGGATAATCAATATGCATATATAATTACAGTTTTATTGATTTAAATATTGAGAAAAATGTGAACACTTCATTTGCTTACTATAAATCATAATGTGGCACTTAGTGTTATATTATTTTTTTATAGGTCTGGGATAAAGGAAGAGAAACCAAGGGGTTATTCTGATGAAGTAACTTCAGAGAACAGAATACCATCTGAGAAATGCATTCTCCAAACTACTGTGAAAGTAGAGGAAAACCCAGATGCAGACAGTGACTTTGATGCTAACAACAGTGAGGATGATGAACTGGAAGAAAATAATAAAGTGAACTGCAGAAGGGAAAAGAACATAGAGACCATTAAGAATGACTCCAGGCATCACAGGAATCAAACCCACTCACGGTCATCGAGCGAAGAAAGAGAACATGGTACCAAAAGCCACACAAAGAGTTCCAAGTCAAGAGGACATGAGAAACGGGAAGATCAACACCAAGAGAGACATTTCAGGAACCAGGAGAACTATTATACTGACCGTGATTACCAAAAAGAAAAGAAAGATTCCCATAGGAACAGAGATGCCAGTCATAGAGATTCCCACTGGAAGAGGCATGAACAAGAAGATAAACTGAGGGGCAGAGACCAAAGAGAAAGAAATGACAGAGAATGGAAAAGGGAGAAAGACAGACAGAAATATCCCACAAGAGAACAAGAAAGAGAGAGACATCGAAATGATCATGACCGACACAGTGAGAAAGGAGTAGAAAAGGAAGAGAAAAGCAAAGAAAAGGAAGAGCATACGAAAGCAAGGAAAGAAAAATATGAAGACAGAGATAGAGAAAAACGAGAAATAAGTGTTCAGTCTTCAGAAAGAAAGCGAGACAGAAAGGAAAACAGCCCGAATTCTAGGGCAAAGGATAGGTTTCTTGACCAGGAGAGATCCAATAAAATGAGAGACGTGGAAAAGGATAAAGAAAGTAACCCAGAGAAACTCTCTAGTTCTGAAACATCACTAGGCGCAAAACACAGAACCACAGAGGAATGCCAAGACATGGGCAAAGAACAAGAGAGGCCACACGAGACTGTGAACAAGTTTGCAAAACGGAACAATGAAGAAACTGTAATGTCAGCTAGAGACAGGTACTTGGCTAGGCAAATGGCACGGGTTAATGCAAAGACATACATTGAGAAAGAAGATGATTGACTTGGTAGAATATGCTGTGTGAACACATGAAGGAGTGTTCATAGTGGTAAAACACATTTTCAAAATTCATTATTTGTTTAGGGTTAAGTCAAAAGTCAGTCTTTTTTTTCTTAAATGCTTGACTGAATCAATATATAATATTTACATATCAATACCACATTCTTGGTTATATTCAAGCAGCCTAAAGAGTGTGCTAAGTCCCGTCCCGGTAGATACTTTATGAGGAAAATTGGCTCTGCTATAACCATTAAAAGATAATTTAAACAACCCTCCTAATGTTGGTTTTGTTGCAGGAGCTGTTTATTTTATAAATACTGTGTTTCCTATAAAATTAAGTGAATTTGAACATAGAGAATATTATTATACTTTATGTTTTGAAATTTGTATTAAAATATAAAATATGGACAGATATGTATCTTGTTAGCTTGAGCATATTTGGCTTAAATGAGAATAAAAATGGTGATATGTTTGTACTTCTAATTTATGCTCTAATTTTAAAAGAAATGTCATTTGTACACAATTGCTCCCCATTCCCCCACCGTTAAAAATTACTTTCATTGAATTCTGTGACCTCACAAGTGAGTAAATTGGTTGTGTATATAAATCAGTTTTAGCTGAGTGTGAAAAGATGGAGACATTTAGTCCAAATGATATTAGCTAAAGATCCAGGTGTCTATGATTGTGTTGTTTTATATGCTCTAAAATATACAGCTTATTACAACTTCCATTTATGTGTCAAAACTGAAATCTCTATGCTGTCTTTGAAATTTTCCATTTAAAATGAAATATAGCCCTGACCGGTTTGGCTCAGTGGATAGAGCATCGGCCTGCGGACTGAAAGGTCCCAGGTTTGATTCTGGCCAAGGGCATGTACCTTGCTTGCGGGCACATCCCCAAGAGGAGGTGTGCAAGAGGCAGCTGATCGATGTTTCTCTCTCATCAATGTTTCTAACTCTCTATCCCTTTCTCTTTCTCTCTGTAAAATATCGATAAAATATATTATAAATAATTTATTCATGGGCAAAGGATGAATGGTATGGAGAAAATAGTTTTCTAACAATTCTTCCCATTAAGAAAGTGCTATTTGCCCTGGCTAGGTGGCTCTGTTGGTTGGAACGTTCTCCCATACACCAAAAGGTTGCAGGTTCAATCCCCAGTCACGGTGCTAAGGGAGGCAACTGATCAATGTTTCTCACAGAGATGTTTTTCTCTCTCCCTCCCTCTGCCTTCCACTCTCTAAAAATCAGTGGAAAAATATCCTCGGGTGAGGATTAACTCAGCATGCACAGAGGATTGTAGTATAATATAACTATTAAAAAGTTTGGGTGAGATCATTGAAGACCATGAGTAGCAGGCTAAAAATCTTCAACTTTGAAAGAGAATGTGGTTCCTTCATTAGGGTTGTTAAAACTAGAGCCATATGTTGGAAAGATTAATTTAACCATAATATACAAGATAAGTGTAGGAGGAAGAAACTAGTCTGAGGGATCTGGTAAAAAGCTGTCGATTTCCCTTTCACAGTAAGTAGTTCCAAGACTCATAAAGTAGCTTGGATGGTTTAGCTGGCAAAAGCTATAATAGAGTTGACCCTTGAACAACACAGGTTTGAATTGTGTGAGTCTGATTATATATAGATTTTTTCAATAAATGCTGTAAATGTATTTTCTCTATGATTTTCTTTGCCTAGCTTGCTTTATTGTAAGAATACAGTATATAATGCACATAACATAAAAAATATGTGAATTTTCCATTTATGTTATTGGTAAGGCTTCCGGTTGGTCAACAGTAGGTTACCAGTAGTTAAATTTTGCAGGAGTTAAAACGGATTTCGGCTGTACAAGAGATTGATGTCCTTAAAACCCCTCACCCCTGTGTTCGAGGGCCAACTATTTCACTTTTTTTAAAAAACATATTGTTACTGATTTCAGAAAGAAAGGGAGGAGAGAGAAATAGAAAAATCAATGATAAGAGAGAATCATTAGTCAGCTGCCTCCTGCATGCCCCACACTGGGAATTGAGTCCATAACCCAGGTACATGCCCTCACTGGGGATGGAACTGTGACTTCCAGGTCCATAGGTTGATGTGCAACCACTCTGGCCAGACCAATAGTATTACTTTTATTAACTAAGTTTGGTGTAATTCAGGGAGAAGCAACAAATTTAGGGTTTCTTCTCCTTCCCCAGATATATAGATGTTTTTGCCTTTCACATTCATTCACACCTTTTCTGGGAGCAGTGCCGTGATTTTTCCTTGGGGAAGTACCCTTAACTACTCTTAGTCTAGTGATCAAATGGGGCTGAATAGGCTCCAAGTATGTGACTCAAGCTAGGCCAATTCTGAGATTTGACAGAACTTAAAAAGATGTTTTCCACTAGAATTGCTGATAGTAAGTTCAGAGTTGCAAAGAATGAGAGTCTGGCTGCCAGACAGAGCCAACCAAAGAAAGCAGAAATAAGAGAAAGATAAAGACCTACTGATTTCTTTTGAATCTCTGGTTCTAGTGGGGCATATATATTTTTTTAGATACTTAAACCAATACTTTTACTTTTTCTCTTGGGCCAGTTTGAATTGGATTCCTGCTACTATAACCAAAAGCTCTATCTCAGTAAGATTCCACATATGATAAATCTATGCCAAGTTACAGAACATTCTTAATCTTTTAAAAATTGTAGTATAGCCCTGGTAGGTGTGCTTCAGCAGTGAGAGCATCAGCCTGTGCACCTAGATTCCTGGCCTCAGTTGGGGCTTGTGTAGGAGGCAACTGATGGATGTCTCTCACATCCATGTTTCTCCCCCTGCCCCATCCCTTTCTCCCTTCTACCCTCTTGAAAGCAATGGGGAAAATATCCTTGGGTGAGGATTAAAAAAAAATTTAGTATAGCATGCATAAAGAAAGTGCATGTATCATGAATATATAGTTTAATGGATTTACACAGAAGAAACCTCAAACCCCTTCCCAGACTATGCCTCCGCCCTTGACTTTTAACACCACAGATTTTGTTTTCTAGATAGTATAGTATTTATCCATCTATTGATGGACATGGAGTTTATTTTCTGTTTAGGGTTATTATGAATAATGCTTTTAGGGACATTCTTGTACTTGTCTTCTAGTGTGTACATATGTATGTTTTGCTTGGGTAATACCTAGGAATGGAATTGCTGATCCATAGGGGATACATCAGCTTTAGTAGATACTGTGAGAAATAGTACCAAAATATACTCAAAATGTATGAGAGTTGCAGTTGCTCCACATTCTTGCTTATACCTGTTAATTGTTTATCTTTTGTCATCTTGTCTTTTAATTTTAGCCATTCTGAGGGATGGGATGCTGGGGTTTTTTGTTGTTTTTAATCCTCACCCAAGGATATGTTTTTCATGGATTCCAGAGAAAACAAACTAGAATGACCTTTATAGTTTGGTGTTAGAATTGGAGATAATGGTGTGAATTCATTGTTTTCATGATAGAGAAATAATTATAGATGCAAATGTGTGTATGTACTAGTACACACACTTGAGTCCTGTCCAGTGAGAGGATTTGGTATCAGACACCCCAATAGCAATGAGCATAACCTAGCACCTAGATCAGTGATGGCGGGCCTTTTGAGCTCGGCGTGTCAGCATTTTGAAAAACCCTAACTTAACTCTGGTGCCGTGTCACATAGAGAAATTTTTTGATATTTGCAACCATAGTAAGACAAAGACATATTTTTGATATTTATTTTATATATTTAAATGCCATTTAACAAAGAAAAATCAACCAAAAAAAATGAGTTCGTGTGTCACCTCTGACACGCGTGTCATAGGTTCACCATCATTGACCGAGGTTTTGATTTCTAAAAACATTCTTCACTAAAAGGAATCAGAGCTTCTTGGAGAAGTGACTATTGCAGAGAAAGTATAAGATGATACCGAAATATCTTACTCCAGAAGGGAAGAAAGTTTTCCAAGAATTAGGGTGACATGTCAAAAGGACAAAAGCCAGCTTGAAAGGACTCTCACTGGCTAAATATGGGACAATTTGAGCATTGAAATACATTATAATAATAATGGATTATAATCCACTGAATAAGAACCTGTAAAAAAATTAATGTTTTGAAAGTTAGATGAGAAACAGGATATTTGCACAGTTTCAGAGCAATCCTTTCAAAATACGAATTAATTACAAAAAGAAAAGAATACAATGGAAAGCCTGGCAGACACTATCTTAAGTAATTGAAGTTAACATTACCAGTATGGGAATAAATCACCCCCCTCCCCCGATATTTCTACCAAATCATTGCCTGAAACTAATCATGAATAATCAATTATCAAATCATATTGAGGGGCATTCAACAAAATAAGTGGCCTGTAGTTTTCTAAAGTGTCAAGTTCATGAAAGTCAAGGAAAGACTAGGAAACTTCCAGACTGAAGGAAACAAAGAGATAAGCTACATGAAAAGTATGATTCTGGAGTGGATCCTTTTGCTAAAAGGACAGTGGAATGGGATCTGAGATTAGATGGCAGTAATGCATCAAAGTTATTTTCCTGATTTTGATGGTTATGTTGTGACTAGAGGCCCAGTGCATAGCATTCATGCACTG